ACCACCAGCTCTTGCAAAGAGCAGCGGCTGTTAGCACCCACCCAGGGTAAGGGGAACGTGCCCGGCGAGTCCTGGCAGCCCGAGGCTCGATTCATCCCAGCGGGGCTTGGGCGAGGGGCACTTCTCTGGCAAATCAACTCTTTCGGCTTCGAAGCGAAGCTGTGAGCAGAGGAGCAGCGTTCTCGCAGCCCCGCTACCAGGGATCTCGCAGCAGCGCAGCATCTGCCAATTCATTCAGCGCTGCTGGCCCATGCAGCAACATGGCACGCCGCTGTTCCGTGTTTGGAGACAGTTTATACTGGAATAGGAGCAGTCTTCTTGGGTAAAATGATTATTTTTTTCCTTCATGAGAGCTCATGGCTTTTTTAAAGAGAACTCTGCACACTTAAACCCGCCTGAGCACCGCAGGATGGGACATGTGTTGCAGCTTGTCTGGGCAGGGGAGGGGGTCTCTGCAATGATTTTGCAGAGAGTGACTTGAAAACAAGGATTAAAACATTGCTCGGGAGGGACTGGAGCACTCAGAGGCAGAAAGTTACCCATGCACTTCTGAGCTAGGCATCAGAGTGTGCCCAGGGAGACGTTCATGCTTTACTTTGCTTTCCCAGGCACAGCGCAGCCTCTTTTCTAAAAGCCGAATCCAGATTTTCAGACATCAGAAGAATCACTCTGGTACTGGAGCTTGATCAAGCACAAAAAACATCCTCAGCCTTCGCAAAAATACCAGATGGCTGCAGATGCCAGCTCCTTTGGCCAGGCAGCTTTTTCAGAGAAGAGGCCAGCTCGTTGTGCGAGCGCCGCATCCCAGAGAGAGCTCCGTGGAGCAGCAAGGAGACAGAGAGAAACCCTCGGAGGAGGAGGAGCATCGAAGCCAATGCGTTCCCGTAACATCAGACTTCCAAGGCTACGCATACGCTCAAGTCCAAATGTTCTCCTTCTCCAGAGGGAAGTGGGACCTACAGAAGATTCTGGCTGGGGAAACGCTCGTACGAGTTTCTGAGCAGTCGTCTGCATTTGAAGAAGGTGAAAATGAGCTCCAGGCAGAGCTGCCAAATCATTAGAAACAAATTAAAAAAACATGCCTGGGAACGCAAGAGTAGATAATTTGGTCTTTAAATAGTGAGCCAGTCTTTGAAATATCAAGCATGAACTTTTAGACTGGGTAGTGCTCATTGGGTCAATGGTGCGACAACCCCAACTCTGTCTTCCCACCCTGCCAACTCCCACCCACCTGCAGCGGTCCTCGGGGACACTCCTGCCGTGGCAATGACTGTAATTCACTGGATCTCGGGCTCTCTTTAGGTTGATCAACATAGTTTTGTCTCTGCACAAGATAAAATACTCTCAGTTGCTACACAGAGATGTGCGCACAGAACAAACACGATCTCTTCCATAAACGGGCCAGTGAAAGGATTTATGCACCATTTAAGACTTAAAACCGAATGCAATGCACACACCTTGTGCAACCTTCACAACAGGAGAAGTGTCACCCTTCATGTGACCACGTGCTGCAAGAAAAACAAACCAGCAGCCAACAACCAAACTGGCGTGCACTGGGATTACTTGGTTCTCTGCAACAGCTCTTGTTTCCACCAACACCTGGGCAGGTAACGGTGTCAGACCGTGCTTGCTGGAGGATCAAGGACTCCCAGGGTTCATATGGGAGCAGTGGGAATGCTCAAGAGACCCTACAGTAATCTGACACACACACCAAAGCCTGGTCAGCCACCCCAGCCTTGTAAAAAACCTGGAGGTACAATTAGTTTCTATTAAAAAAAAAGAGTAAAAGAGTATTTTCTTTTGTCTTGGGAGTCTCAAAATGGCTGCGACACAATTAAAACCAACCAAAAAAAGAATGACAATGATGAGTGGTGAGATACTCTTTTCTGGGGAGCGTGGGCTGGAAATGTCCTTCTGGAAGAACCTCAGAGAGAGTGGTCACTTTTGATTACTACATAATGTGAGTAATTCTCTGGAAAGACGAGTCCTTCCCGCCTGAATCATAGCAAAGGGGGGCAAAAATAACACACTCCAGAAATGGAAAGCTGGACAGCCCTTGGATGCCGGGAGCCGCCCAAGATTCCTGTGCGGGGGCCACCACGGAGAAGCTGCACAGAGCGAGTCCACCAGCCCTGCGTGCTGCCCTGGGGTGAGGGCTCCAGCACCGGAGCCAAGCTGGGACCACAACATACCTCCTTGTGTGGCCAGCCAGGGCTCTGGGGGGTGTCGGAGGTGGTATGGCACTAACAACATGCTCAACACCTCTTCCTCACCCAGAAGCTGTACTCTCCAGTCATTCAACCCTGATGCACCAGATACAGGTGGTTCCTTTGGAGGCTCTGCCTTCTCCAAGAAGTTTGTCCTCCATGTAGCTCTTGGCCAGCCCACTGCATGGAACACAAGCCATGGCAGCAGCACAGCACACCACTGGTGCCAAAAATGGCTTTGTGCTCCAGTCCCAGGGCACCTGCACTTCTAAAATCCACACATGGCCAGAAGTTGAAAGGAACGACTGGGACAGATCCCCAGTGTGGCTGGAGCCATGGGCTTTGTGTATGATATTGGGAGAAAGAGGAGCAGCATTGGTATTTGAGAAGGAACGAGCCTGTTCTTCCCCAAGTCTTCCCGCTGGCTGTACAACAGACTCACCAGCAGTCCTGGGGGTTTTGAAGCTCTACACAGAGTCCCTACAACCAGCAGCTCACACCATGTTCCACATGTGCTTAAATGCCTGGTGAAAACAGCATCTACACAACCATGTGGAGGTTCTAGAGACACCTTGAATCCCTGCTTCTTTATTTAGACATATATGGTTACATTGAAACAAAAGAAATTTTTTTCTTCATGTTCATCCTCCAGAAAACCAGTTTGGTTTCCATTACTGTATATAGCACCGGGATTCTTGGTCTATTTTTTGTCCCTTTGCATCTGATTACTTTCAGCACAGTTCAAACTTTTTATGATATGCAGATTTTAACTAGAACATGACTTCTATTTATACAGACTTCCATTTTTAATAAACCCACAACTGCTGCATATAACGTAGAAGAATTTTATTCATACCGTAATCCTGTCCCATCATCCACTGCAAATATTACAATTATCTTTAAAATGTCATTGAATATCATTTTGTTCCACTTAAAGCATAGGAATCCTGGTGTTAAATGGTTACACTTCTCTTCAGATTGCGTATAACAGAACCATAGAATTTTCCATGAGCTGTAAAGGTTTCAAGCAAAGAATCTGTGTTGTGTGTGTGCGCTCCAGTAACTTCTAAACAGTGAGGCTAATACTTGGTGTTTAACAAGAAATGTATCTTGCATATTATGGGAAACACAATTTTTTACCAATACAACAGAAATACAACAGGCAAAAGAACATACATGAGCGACTGGTAATCTTGAAAAAATATTTCTTTTAAAAATTGCACAAGAGAATACAAAACAGTGAAGCAAAGAAAAAGTTTTGCAAAGGCATATACATTTATCTGTCTATATAATGGGTCTGCCTATATAAATGTATGTGATAAAAATTGCAAGGCTGAAAAATGTGAATGGTCATATTTATGAACACGTGCAAGAAGCATAACATAATCATAATAAATAGTAGCAATGAGTATACACTGATGGGACCACTGAAAATAGGCTGAAATAAATCAAGCACCTCAAAGTGATGAGAGGAATCTGGAGTCAAGAAGCAGTTAGCTCTGTAAAAACCACTGCGGGCAGCTCCTGGAATATTGGGCCGTCTTGGTGGGAGTCAATAGGAAAGTCCCGAGTTAGTTTTTGTTAATTCCAAAGAAGAAAGCCCATTGCATGTCAGTATGAGTAATTTTAGCCATGTTCTTCACCAATGCCTCTAGTGTCAAAAGGGAATTGCATAACCTTTGCCATGGAAAAGGTACAGAAAGTTCGTATTTACTCAGAAGAATGTTATCATAAAGATGAAATAGAGTTTTGCCACGACCGAAAAGCGGGCAGCGCTCTTTAGGGCAGCTCAGATGCAGACCTTTGCTGCTGTTAGCAAAGACAAGTCTTCCTTCAAATGAAAAGCTTTGCAAAGAAGAATCTAAATGATCCCATCCTTGAGGGCTGCAGCAGAGTAAGGTCTGCACACCACTGCAGGACCTGGGCTCTAGGAGCTTCTTACAAGATCCTGATGCTTTTTGTTATGCAATACATGGCTTTTGGAGGAGAGGCAGCATTGTGAAGCATGTGTTTGCCTTTCAGAAAATCCTAAAAAATCCTAAAATTTAGTCATATAGTAAAAGAAAGGCATTTGGATTTAATTAAGTGGACCTTATTAAAAACAAGCTGCTGTGTTGCCCCTGATGGGTGCCTGGCACCATCTCTTCAGCATTTCATAGAATATTCAGAGAGGTGGCTGAGGATACTCTGCTACAGAAAAGTATGTTTTGAAGCCCACTTAATTCAGCAGAAAAGTTCCCATTGGACTTTTAAGGGATGTAATGCAAACACTCATTTAAAAAAAAGCTGAGGACAAATAACTTAGGTCCTAAAGGTTCCATTTGAATTCTTACAAAACATTGTTCCTTGACCTCTTCACCCAGAAGACTGGAGCAGGCTGTTTGGCTTAGCACATCCTACAAAGCTGACCTGAAAGGGTTGGTAACACGGAGGAGTATGGCCCCTATAGCTAAGCCACAAACAAAAAGACTCAAAGCATCTACTTTTCCTGGCTTACTGGAATGATTAAAATCTTCCTCCAACCTTCCCTCTTAAACTGCACGACTGCCACTCACCCTGTGGGATTTCAGAAACCTCCAGTCCACAACCAGTGAAAAGTCTTTTAAAAGTGACAGGCAGAGGGACATCGCTTGATCAAAGAAGCTTGACAAAAGGTGAATAAGACCAGCTTCAAAGATAATAAGGGAAACAGAAGTTCATATGAATTTTAAATAGTTAAAAACACAGTTTTAAGCTGTATGATCCAACAATAGGTAAAAATCTTGCCTGCAAGCCAAGAGCCTAATCTTCCCCAAAGCTAGTCTTATCCAAACAGTTGTCTTCCTACTTACATGATACATGAGATTTGAGCTGACATCCAGTACGTGACATAAAACGCACATCTTTTTTTTTTTTTTCTTCATAAAGCTATGGAGCTGCACAGAGCAAATTTAAGTGCACAAGGTCACACAAAGGCAGCTTTCCAGAAAGAAACATTTAGACAGTGAGCGAAATGAAACTGTTGTATCTCTGAATGTTTCTCTTGAGGATTTCAGAACAAGGACCAAGCACTCGTTCGAAGCGGGGCCGATCCAGCTTTACGCACTTCAGGGGTCCGCGTGCCACCACCGTAGCAGCTCGGGGCCGATTGAGCAGTAACGCTATCTCACCTGGAAACAGGGATAAACACGTCACACGCCCTGTGCTGCTTTTTTGGAGGGTGCATATTCTAGTCACCGTTCAGTTGCTTTGGTTGGAGAACATCTCCCCTTATACGTCTCTTGATAGACACTTTACATAATTCTGTTGACGGTACAAATGCATTACACATGCATAATGCATGCGTGTAAAATGCCTTTGAAAACAAATGCTTTCAGACTGTTTTGCTGATTCTGGATCAGTCTCCTGACAGCTACACTGGTGTAAACCAAGGAACGGTTTCAGCTTCACTGAAATCTCTCTATATTGCTGAAAGCAGCGGCTGACCTACGCATAACCCCTCGCTGGTAAAAGAGTAGAGCGCTAATTAGGACAATAACTGCTTGATACAACTCCACGTGCCTGTCTTTCTGAGCTATACTTCAGCTGAACTTTCTTACCAAAATAATCTGACGGACCAAGTCTTCCAACTTCGACGTACTCCTCGTTGTCAGAGCGGCGCTGCAGAACAGAAGCTGTGCCCTGGGAAAAAAAGTGCAGAAAGTCAGCTGGCTTTGCTTAAACCCGTTATGCTTTAAAAAGTATTGAGTCCTGAGCATTTCCTTTTGCATGTCACAGTCCTTCAGTTCTGTGATGGGAGAGATGACAATTTCAGTCAATTCTTCATATATTAATGAAAGGAATTAAAGGATTAAAAAAATTATCAGTATGGCAAATGATATCTCATTTATGAATTGTTTGGATGCGGAAAGATTCAGCTCACACAGAAAAGAGGAACAGGGCAGAACTCAGTAACTCCTATTTAACTTATCCACATCATGCTGTGCAAATGTATGCTTTAATGTAATTTAAAAATATGTTTTGGGTGGGTGCAGAACCTTACAAGAGAGGCAGAGAGGATTCACATCAAAAGGAATAAGAAGGCAATTTTTCCAGTCACAGCCTTGGGATGGGATTTTGTCAGACAGCAACTAGAGTTTATTCCTCACCTGATCATTCACTGGATCTATTGCTGAAATGGTTGGTAAAGAGAGTTTTTAGTGCTTGTTGCAACAAAGGGTGATTTTTTTTATTTAGTGGCTTTGCCCACTTGTGTCCTGTAGTGATCTGGACACCTGCGAGTCAGTCGCTGGAGAGATGGAATGCGTCTTGTCTCCACTTACCCTTAATAACTGCTGTACTTGACATGTGCTAATACATGTCAAAACTCAGTTACAGTCTATTTAAACCTTCAAAGAGGTTTTACACACAGAAATATTCTAACCTGGAGGAAATCTTAAATTACTGTGGCATAAAGCTTTTGTAGAGGAAGAGAGAAGGTATCTGCTGTTCTGGAAAAAAATTACAGTAACATGAAATTATTTTCTGAGTCCAAACCAAACACATAGGGAAAGGCAAAATGTTAACATATTTTAATTAAAATTAAAAAGATTTTTAAAAGCCAAGATTTTAAAAGACTGAAAAGCCATTTTTTGACTGTGCAGTTGGAGAGGATTGATGGGGTTTTTTTAAGATTTTCAGCTTGGAAAGTAGTATGTGGGGGCTGATCCTGCCCCAACCAGGGCAGGGAAGGGGAGAAGACACAGTAATGTGGACTATGCTCGATAGATTGATGCAAGTTCTTGGAAAATATCACAGCCCTCACTCTGCAGCTGAACATCCGACACTTGCATTGCTTGGCTCGTCAGTGCCCGTAACCAGCTGCAGGACCACCCCAGCCTGGAGCATAAACCTCCCTCTCAGCACCCTGCAGAACCAGCCCTTCATCTTTGCACTGTGTTTAAATACATCCTACAGTATGCCAAACTTCGTCATTGAATTGCAAATCTGAACAGAAAAGTAATGCTGCTTCAGGTCTGGCTTTTGCTTTTCTAGGACCTGGGGGCCCAGGAATAACCAAGAGTGGTAGAACACCCACTAGCATGTAGCAAATGATCATCATTTGCTTGCTTCTGAACAAGCACAACTAAGCTGCTGTAATACTGTTGTATTGCATCACGTCCTATTTCATAACAGGGTTATTTTTAAGCCCATATATGTTACAACTGCTGGGCCACTCTCCAGGTTAACTTACATGCTATATAAATGAGGAGGTGAATCTTGTGCTATATAAATTAAGAGGAAATAATTCTGTTGATGCCAGGAACCAGGAAAAAAAAAACAAATAATGTGCAAGTATTGTTCGATACATGCTAAGCAGATAATGGTTTTTATATGGACTTGGATGTATATCAAATTAATCTGGCACATTAAATGTTATAATTTCTAATTTTGCCCATTAGCAATAACCTGTGCTCAGTATAAATCCCGAGATATCAGACTGTCAACAAGTTACGTTGGTCACAGCAACTGACTGTTCCACCCCATCAGCTACATGCAGTATCAGTATTACAAAAATAATGCAGAAACACCAGGGCTGTAAATCCACGTCCATTTGAAAACAATCACACAACTCTTCTCCCCTTCAGTTCTTTCACTCTTACTATGCCAGGCAGCTGAGGGCAGAAGATACAGAACTATACGCTTGGCACAACGTGCATGAGCAAGGGCACCTGAACCGGGCAAGGTTGTTAAAAAATAAGCCAAACATACAGTGGAAGGTTGGTTTTGGTTTTTTGTGGGGTTTATTTGGGGTTTTATCTGTCATTAAAGCATGCCAGGTACACAAAACTGTCCACAGCAAGTGTAAGGTTATCCACAGAAGTAACTGGAAGAACTGGATATAAGAAAGTGATTTGGTGCCTGTCAAGTTTCCAGCAAAAATTCCTTATCCTTGATATAACTAAATTGTTCCGCCAAAGCTGCTGTTTTCCAAGATCTTCCAGTAAATCTGCAAGGGCATGACAATGCAAAGATAGTGTAATGAGTTTTGTGATTCACACTTACTGCAAGCTTTCAGAACAAGCACATGTTCGTTCATAAGCAGCATTCTCAGAAATACCCCATGCAGGGAATCATGCGTACATCGACCTTTCTCTTGCCAAACTTCAGATCAGGTGCAGCTCCCTAAATTGATGCTGTTATTGTTGCCTGTGCAACGCAGACAGGATCAGCTTCAGAATCGCTTCCAGCCCCTGTCCTCCTCTCCGTCCCCATCTGGAGCCTGGCAAAAACCTAACCCCTTGACCCAAATAGCTGTCTGCAATCCATGTCTCCAGTCTCTTTCCCAAAACTATTTTTTAAAAAAACCCCTTTTATTACTGATGTTCTATTACATAAAACAAAAAAAAAATTTCCCAAAGTAATCATATTGACTGCCCAGGTCAAAAGAAGAAAGGACTCAATTCCCCACTGCCCACCTTGAGCGTGTTGCCGTGAAGGTAATCACAATATCAAGCAATATTGCTTTCAGCTCCCCAAGTGTCAGCTTTTATTGTGACTAATATTTTTTTGACAGAGTCCACATGATATAAGACTCCAATAAGTCAGTCTTCTGAAGCAATTTCTTCCACTGTTCCACTACAGTCGGCCTTTTTGATCCAAGAAACACCATGATATCTGTTGGAGGAGGACAGATGTGTCTGGCCTCCACAATAAACACTTGGCTTGGCAGAATAAAGCGATGCATATTCCAGATACATATTTTTCCACTCTTGTTTTAACAGTCACATCGGCTTTTCCCGTTGCCCAGGGAGAACAGGTCTATCACGGAGCAAAAGAAGTTTCCTGAAACCCTGACAGCGAGCACCCAGATGTAAGATCTGATTATGCCGCTTGGCCTCTCGTTGCACAAGTCACCAGCTCCACAAGTACATCCTGGAGCATTGTCCGAGTGACCTTCACAGGAAGACTGTGCACACCGTGAAACAAAGACGACATATTTATAATTATCTATCTATCTTCACTTTACGTATCTTATCTCTGGAAACAACACTATTCTAACTGTATTAGAGGAAGAGTCCAATTGTGCACAGTGTAACCAGGGCAAAAATAATACAGAAATAAAATAATACAGAATAAAATTAAATAATGCAGACTAAAATAATACAGAAACAATCCTTTACTACCCATGTACTTCATGAAGTTGTCATGCTAAATGAATTGGGTGCTGACCCCTACCCTTGCTCCCATTACAGGTTTCACGGCTGCATTTCATTTTACTTTACTTGCCAAATCTTTCCGACACAGTTTTTGAGCTTTCTATCTTTTTTGTCCTGTAGCAAACCCTACCTCTTATAAATGATACAACTGAATAAATCTTCTGAGCCCTGTCCCAGGAGGTACAGGCATTATCTAGCAAGGATTCAAGGGGCTTATCACTCTCACTCCCAAAAGATTTTGGTCTTGGTGGGAAAGATTTCCCCTTAAGTGGCACACAAAACTTGGCAAGACCAGTCTCTCTGAAATAAACTGCACGATCCTAGATTTGCAGGATCAGGCTATTTAGTGCTGCTCAATTTAAAATACTGTCTCGTACACTGATAGCAATTTCAGCCTCCTCCATCACCAAGCAAAACCTACAGAGCACAGGCTCAAAGACTGTGAAGAAGTCTGACACCGTTTAATAAATCAGCACTTTGCGATGACATTAAACTGCAGGCAGACAGGCATGTCTTTCTGCTAGCAGACACTCGGGAGGGAAATGATGATCTTCGGTGGATCCAGGAATATTTTCTTTCAGTCACTGGGGAGTGCCTGTATTCCCAGGATCTGATATCATTAACCTTCTCTCCTCTCCTCCAAGTAAACATGGGCATCTTATTGCAAAAACAACAGGAGTAGCAGTTCCAAAAGCAATGTGCCATCACCACCTCTCTGCCATCCTCACCCCACGCACCTGCTCACTCCCTCTGTCACTGCTGTTAACGGTGCCGGGAGTATTTATTCGACTATTTCAAATGCATCAGCAGTTTGTTTTGTCAAAATTTATGGCTTAGATATCACACTATAATTTAAGATATAAAAAATAAATTAAGGTTTATAATCCATGAGCTCCCATCCTCTCCAAAGTAATGAGATTTTGATAAATGTTCCACTTTTAAACTATCGGACCATACGGATGAGTGAGACATCTTACAGCATAAAGACAGTGACCCGTCTGGATCAACACTGAGATTCCCAGGCCTGATTCTGCACGTACTTAGGAGCACTAATTGCTTCAGGAGCCCTATTTTTATATTTAAGTATGAATCCTATAGCCAGCAGTTGGCTACAAAAGGTAAGTGCTCATGACGCTAAAACCTGAAATTCTGTATTTTCTTCCTCTATTCCAGCTCAGCGGGTCAGATGGGATCATTCCTGGGAAGTACAAGGTGAAATGTGGTGGGCAGTGATGTTACCTCTGGGTGGGATGCGCTGGGCAGTGCAGTCCTTCACCACGGGCCATGGGCAGGAAGGGAAATTCGGAACAGAATTTTAAAACAGAAGCAGTGTTTTAAAAACTTTTTGGTTTAAAGTCAATCTTGTTGATGTTTTGGTTTTGCTGGTCTCATCTCCCATTTTAAAGATACAGCAATCAGTAAAAAATATAGTCAGGCACCATCTGTGATAAATGACATACTTATTAAAATTGAAGAATATTT